GGTGTCATGGCTCACAGCAACCTCCAACTCCTGGGCTTGAGCGATTCTCTTGCCTCAGCCTCCCAAGTAGCTGGGACCATAGGCGCCTGCCACAATGCCCAGCTATTTTTTGCTTGTAGTTGTCATTGTTGTTTGGCAGGCCTGGGCTGGATTCAAACCCACCAGCTCTGGTGTATGTGGCTCATAGCCACTTGAGCCACAGGCACCGAGCCTAGCCTATGATTCTTTATCAAGTCCAGAACCTGTGTCTGGAATCAAAAGTCCTAGACTCAGATTGTGGATCTTCTACAACTAGTAAGCAATAACTTGTCACTGACCTTAGTAACCCCATCTATAAAATGGGAATTGTCTTTCACTCTCCAGGCAGTGACAGGAACAAGAAAGGTAATACATGTGCAAGATGTGACACACCTATGTGATTTGTAAGCTGTCACTAGCTCACACTCTTGCCAGTTGCAATTAGGATTCTTCCCCAAAACAGCTTTAGAAAGCTGGGTTCTGAGCAGTGGAAGTCTGGCAGGACAACAGGGATGGTGGATGAGCTAGGCTGCTAGGTCCGCCGGGGGCTGTGCTTCACCTGCATTTAGCCAATGTTTCCTTGGTATATGCAGAGCACCAGGCCTGGGAGAATCTCCTCCCCCCAGATTCTACATCTAGGGATGCCTGGAGCCTGCACGCCAGGTCTCTCCCAGTTTATGGGCCCTCCCAGCCTGGCCCCCACCTGCTCCTGTTCTTCCTACTCACCTCCACATAATTAGCAGGGAAGATGCCCAGGCGGCCATGGTGCTCCCCTTCCAGCCAGTTTCTGTCCACCTCCTTATGGATGTAGACGATGTCACCCTTCTGCAGAGTCAGTTCCCTGCAGGCCAGAGTGAAGACATCGCAGCATGCCAAGGCCCTCCAAACCCCCTTTCCTACAGGTCTCGCCCAGCCCACCGAGTCCCACCTCCCTCAGGGTACAGAGACTGCCCTGGGTGCGAGGTAAAGGGAGAGACAGGCACTTACTTGGGGGACTGTGCCTGGAAGTCAAACTTGAGCCGGGCGGCCTTCCTCTGGGTGGGGGGAGAGAACAGAGCAGGGTGCCTCAGTCTGGCAGGTGGCAGACCCTGAACAGCAACCCCAGGGACCTCCCCAGGCCCTCCCTGCTCCCTGACCCTGGTGCCCCCTTACCTTCTTCTCTTCCTTCCTAGCTGGGCTGCCCCCTCGTTCAGAGGCACTGGGGTCTGTGGAGAAGCACTGCCTCAGCTTGGGGAGGCCACATCTGGGGGACCAGTTGGGATGGGGTTATGCCCCCGCCCCCAGGATAGGCACCAGTGGGCTCTGTGAATGTACCAAGGGGAATCGACCAGGGGGAAGATAAGGGTCATCTACCAAGTGAACTCCTGCCACCCCTAGGCACCAGAGTAACTGGTAGGTGGGCATGTGAGTGAGAAAAAGAGCCCGAGTTGGTTCTTACCTTGGGTTGAGGAAGGGTAGACAAAGTCCCTGCGACCTAGGAAGGGGCTTCCTGTATCTGCCATTCTGCCAGGGCTCGGGCACCAGGAGGTACCCAAGTAAGGTGTGTGTGGAGAACTGGAGCTCCAGGCTGAGGCTGGGCTGCAAGGACAAATCTAGTGGGCCACTTGTCTGGAGCTTCACACTCTCCCCGGCTTACCCCCCAACTTCCCTGGTCCCCCAAATTTCTTCGATCCCTGCCTCCTCCCCTCAGGGTGTCTCCCAAGTACTGGGCTCAACAGGATCTCCTACTTCCCGTGTGGCGCGGCGGGAAAGGGCGAGGCCTTGGGTAGGGAGAGGCTGTGCTAGGGGACAGTGTGGGAAGTGGCGGGGCTGCCTCCCCCGACACCGAGCTACGCTGTCCCCAACCCGCGACTCAAGTCCCTGGGCTCTGGCAAGTTTGCCTTCTGCGGGCGAGGGGACGGCCCTGCGGATAGTGGCGCTGGAATTCCTCCCGGCCCTTTTCTGAGCCCACCCCACGGGCGGGCGGTCGCCCCCGCCCCTCCGCTCCGCGCCACGTCCCAGCCTGTCCCCGCCCGTCCCGCCCTCTGGGACAGACCCCGTAGTCCTTAGCCCCGTAGCCGCCACTCACTGGGCCGGGGGGCGCTGCTCCGGGGCCCGGGGACGCTGCTCCGGGGCCCGTCTGGGCACCTTCGAGCTCTGTGCAGGGAGACGGGCGGTCAGAGCCGGCCTCCGGCCCAGCTGCAGCACAGGCCGCCGCCTCCGGAAAAGTTTGCGGCCGGGAGGGAGGAGGGCCGGGATCGGGCGGGCGGGACGCGGGGTCCTAGTGTCGGCCGCAAGCGGCCCAGGAGAGCCGAGGGACGGAAGAGGGCGGCGGCCAGGGAGGGAGCGCACGGCAGGGGTCCCAGGGCGCCCCGACGTCAGGCCGACGCGGAGTGGGCTGGGAAGGGTTCGTGAGGGTCACTTGAAAAAGTCAACGCCCTGGATTTCACAGAGGAGCAGATGCGGCCGATGTGGCTGGAGGCCTCACCTCCGCGTCCGCCTGCCCCGCGACCCGCCCGGCTACCGAGGCTCCGCATCGGCTCTGACTCCGCGACCACGGCACCCCCCATACCCCCAGGAGGACACCCAGAGCTGGTACCTTGGTGGATGGCAACCGGGTCTCTATCGCCCGCAAGTCCTTGTCCAGCTCTGCGCTCAGCTTGGCCAGCTCTCTCTCCAGCAGGACCTGGGGGAGGGAGGGGTCTTGGGTGGTGAGGGCAGTGCTCAGTGGGGGGCTGGCCAAAGGTCACAAGGGCGGGGCAGGACCGGGCACCCGGCTTGGGTAACGGGCTCCCTTGCTGTGGGCCTTTGCGAACTGTGGCCAAGGGTGCCAGGACGGCATCCCTGCCAGCCTTTCACCTGTCTCCCTCTTGAGGTAGCTCACCCACCTGCACTCCCTGGGAGTTCCTTAGTACTTCCTGGTCGCACCTTCCTACCAGGTTTTGTCCTGGTTCTTCTCTGTTCAGCAGCCTACAAGGATGCCTATTTCCTCTCTCCTCATCTTCTCTGGCTTTCCACAGCCTCGCTTCATGGTACCCACTCATGCTGCCCTCTGCCCATCCCGGGAGGGCTGAGTGCCCCTTTCTCTGCCCCCGCAAAGCCCTGCTTTTGCCCAGCCTGGCTTGTAGGTCTCCCCTCCCTGACCACCACTCTCTCACACCTGGTCCAGCCCTCCCATGGTTACAGAGCCCTGCTCCACCTCCAAGAACATTTCTTGACCATTCTGGACGGCCGCCCCCTCCCTCCTCTGCTCCTGTTTTAGCCAACAGTCATTTATTCAACACATGTTTATTGAGCACCTACTATATGTTAGGCACTGTCCTGGGTACTGGAAATACCAAAGTGAGTCCTACGACACTGGAGAGAGACCAGGGGCCCACACGACCCAGATTCTCCTGTGCTCACCCCAGACATTGCTGTCCCCCACCCACAGTGCTCACCTCGATGGGCTGGGGGGGCTTCTCAACAGGCTCATCCACCAGTGGTTTCTTGGGCTGAAGGGTGGGAAGCATGTGTCAGAGAGGGTGAACTTGCTTCCCACAATGCATCAGCTGACAGGTGCATCCAGGACCGGGCAACACTCACCCTCTTCCCACTCTCTAATTCCTGCACAAACTGGTTCCAGGAGTCTTCTGTCCAAACATTGTCTACTTTCTCTCGGTGCCTGGGCACCTGCATGGAGGGGGCAGCCATCAGCTTGCACAGAGGGCTACTGGGACGCTGGCCAGGCTCAAACCACAGCATTCATGCCCCTCCCCTGCACAGTCCCCACCAGTGCCCTCCTAAGGATTGAAGCTGAAAGGGTGTCTGTCATTTGTACTTTTTTGGGGGTGTGGCCATGGAGCACACATCTGGGGTGGAACAAGGGTGTGTTGGGGGGCACTACCTGTTTTGGGGGCTGGAGACCAGAGGATGCTTCAAAATTGTAGTGGAAGGTGTTTCTAGGTAACTCTTCAGCGTGTTCCCAGCTTCTTCTGAAGAGAGGGAAGGACATTTCTTCAGCTTCCTTTTAGAGAAACTGAGGCAGAAGTGAGCACACAGCCCTGGTAAAGGGGCCTACTCTGCCTCTGACTGCCCCTGCTCCCTATTGTGGAAGCAGTTTTAGACAGTGGAAAGTGTATGAGTTCCAAGTTTAAATCCCAGCCCCAGCACTTAGCAGCTGTCTGATCTCTGGCCAAGCTCCTGAACTCTCAGAGCCTCACTCAGGCTGGATACCTGCAAAATGAGAGTGATCAGGTGAGGGAAGTGTGTGAGGAGCCCGGAGAAGCCTTGACAGACATCTGCTCCATGAGTGGCCGGGCCCTTTCCTGCTGGCTCTTGCTAAAATGTCCTGCATTTGTGCTTGATCTGGCCCTGTGACTGTGTCTGTGCAGCTTTGAAAAAGCTGGTCTCTGGGGGCCAGGTGAGGTGACTCACAACTGTAATCCCAGCACTCTGGGGGGGTCAAGGCAGGTGGATTGCTTGAGCTTATGAGTTTGAGACCAGCCCAAGCAAGAGCAAAACCCCATCTCTAAAAATAGCCAGGCGCCTATACTCCTAGCTACTTGGGAGGCTAAGGCAAGAAAATAGCTTGAGCCCAGGAGTTTGAGGTTGCTGTGAGCTGTGATGCCACAGCACTCTACCAATGGTGACAAAGTGAGACTCTGTCTAAAAGAAAAAAGAAGAAGAAGTTGGTTCCCCTAGCTGCCATGGCTGAATGATCTTACACCCTCACCCAAGGGTATGGGGCTACATCTTATTCCAAGGAGCCCTGGGAGCATCCTATCCAGCAGCCCTACATAAGTTTCTGCTCCTTCAGCCTCTGTTCCATGAAGGCACTGGATTCAGCGGGCTTATCTGTGGGGACCATCCAGCTGCCTTAGTTCCCCTCCAGGCATCCCTTCCTGGATGGCTTAAATGTTGCAGCCTGTTGTTTAGTTTGAACGTTTCCACTGAGTGGAACCACTGTGTTAAGCTTATCAAATGCCGGAATGCCTGATGGGAGGATCAGGAATGGTTGGCTGTAGTTATGATTCCACTCTAATTTGAGCAATAATAAAAGTGAACGTAAGAACAGCTAACCTGAAGGCTTCTAAGCATACTGAAACCTGTATTTTACTGATGTTTGTGCAGACCTGGTATATGCCAGTCATGATGCTTGATGCATATGTTATCTATATTTAATGTTCACAATTACCCTGTGATCCCACTTTAAAGACAGAGACACTGAGGCTCAGGCTGGCTAAGTTGCCTTAGTGGCAGCTCACTAGCTGGAGTCCAGAACTCTGCATTCCAAATATTATTTATTTATTTATTAGTGACAGGGTCTCGCCTCATTACCCAGGCTGTTATCTAACTCCTGAACTCCTCCCATAGTGCTGGGATTACAGGTGTGAGCCACCATGCCTAGTCTGGGTCCAAATCTTGAGCCCTTTGCCTCTGTCTTGTTGGTGATGCCAAGAGCCTAGTTACGGTTGTGCTAATGAGGTAAATCCCTTCCTATAAACTGTAAATTGATAAGAAACTCATGGATTTAATTCTGAGAGCCAAGCTCCTAACTCCCAAAGTGGTGTGAAGCCCCAGGAGACCCAGCAGCCCAGCTGGGCCTGTAGGTTTGCACAGAGGAATGAATTTCATCCATCTCCCAGAGGGGCTCCTGTCTCAGCAGCACTGGGGGGAACTTGGGTTCTTCCACATCCCTTGTGTTCTCTCAGGCTTCTGAGTGGATGACCACAGGTCCACAATTTCTCAGTGGTGCCATCCATGGATGCCCTGGTCACCCTACTCTCCATCCCACATGACGTATGGATCTTTGGGGGCAATGAGTTCTTACTGCCCACCAAAAATTCATCACAGGGACAGGTGCGGGGTCCACTCCTGCCCACCTTTCTCCTTTGGCTCTGGCTGGAATAGAGTCTTGAAGATCATGAAGACCCAGAGACAGCAAAGCCCAGTGGGGGAACCAGATCCCCTCCTGGCTGCTCCAAGGCTGTACTTGCCATGGCTGCAAGGGAGTGTGGGTCCCAAAGGTACATGTAGCCCAGGTCCCTGTGCACCCCTCAGGCCCCTGCCCCACTGCGCTCACCCTCTGGATGATGCTGCTGGGCCAGGCCTGGAGGCAGGTCTTTGCTGGGGCTCTGGATGCCTGGGTTCTGCAGAAAAGGCACAAGAGAAAAACCATGGAGAGTGGGAGAAGGCAAGTTTAATTCCTGGGTGGTTCATGGGGACAGGAATGGTGCTCAGGGTCACTAAATGTAGGCTTTGCCTCTAGAGCCATTCTATTCTTTACTAAATCTTCAAAACAACTCTGGGTAGATGATGCTCCCATTTTACAGATAAGGATAGAAAGGCCCAGAGAAATCATGGCCAAGCAATGGCAAAGGGAGGGTTTGCTGGACTGCAAAGCTGAGGCTCTTATTTACCACCCAGCAGGGGATTTGGAGTGCTCTAAAACTGAGCTGTTAAAAACCTCTTAAGTTGAACTAAGCCAACTGCAGAGCCCCTAAGCCAGGCAGGCTGCATGTCCCAGCCTCAGGGAGGGGCAAAATCAGGAGCAGGGATGGAATGAACCCCAGGAGCAGGGATGGGTGGCCTGAACCCCTCACCTTTGGGTATTTCCTCAAAGGGCCACTCCGGCTGCAGGTCTGTGGGAGCAGAAAGGACCAGCTCATAGGTGGGGCAGAAAGTGAGGAGAGAGCACCCCTGTGGCTGCCCCAGCCACTCCCAGCCTCCCACCCGCCTAGAGCAGGGGTCTGAGGGCTGAGTCAGGGCCTAAAGAATGTTCTGAGGGAGGGAAGGAATTAGGAGGGCAGCTCTCAGGAGGGCTTGAAATGCTTCTGGCAGACTTAGGGCCTAAGCAAGCCAGCAGGGCAGTAGCTTTGCCCAAGCCCTCCCGCTCCTCCAGTTCCCATACACACCCTCTCCTGACCTTTGTAGACCTATGCTTGCCAAGTCCAGCTGGGAAGATGGGGCTTTTCCCTCTTTCCCTTTCTGCACCCTCTCTTAAATGCTTTACTCCCTCCCTTTGTCCAGACCGCTTCTCACAGTGCTTGGAAACTTCAAGGGCTTCTTGGGAAGAGCTGCTGACCAGCTAACCCATCTGATCCCCTTGTCATTCAAACATGCCATGACAGCGCCTGCCTAAAACACCAAAACTCCCTTCTCTGGATCCCACACCTTCCTCTGCTTTCCCTCCCAGCAACGGTAACTAGTTGACCACATGCCCTCCCTGTCTCTAATCTCTACTCCCCAGCTCTCTGAGCAGGCTTCCTGCCTACCTGCTGGCTCCACTGCTCTCATCAAGGGCCCCAGGGCCCTCCATATTGCCAGATTTAATGGGCAATTCTATGTCTTCATCTTACTTGACCCATTTGTCACAGCTGCCCATATGCTCCTTCTGAAAGTCCTATTTCACTTGGCTTCTCAAGTTTCCTCCTACCTCCCTGGTTGCACTTCCTCAGTCTGCTTTGCTGGTTCCTGTTCCTCTCTGGAATGTAAAAGCATTTAGGTGCCTCTGGGCTCAGTCCTCCTGGGCTTCTTGCCTCCCCAACTCCCTAGGTGATCTTGTTTAGTCTTGGGAATTTTTTTTTTTTTTTTGACAGGGTCTCACTTTGTCACCCTCAGTAGATGCCATGGCCTCATAGCTCATAGCAACCTCAAACTCTCAGGCTTAAGAGATCCTCTTGCCTCTGCCTCCTAAATAGCTGGGACTAGAGGCCCCTGCCACAACACCTAGCTATTTTTAGAGACAGGGTCTTGCTCTTGCTCAGGCTGGTCTTAAGACTCCTGATCTGAAGCAATCCACCCGCCTCAGCCTCTCAGAGTGCTGGGATTACAGGAGTGAGCTACCATGCCCAGCTGCTTTTTTTTTTTTTTTCTAAAGCAGACAGGGTCTCACTATGTAGCCTAGGCTGGGGAGGCCACAATGTCATCCAGGAGCATCTGGCACTACAGGTATAGCATTATGGCTTTTAAAACACTATCTATTCCTGTGACTTACAGCCTTGGTTGCACATTAGAATTGCTTAGGGAACTTTAGATCTAAATCTCTTTTGAGCAAGTCCCACGTATTCATTCTCATCTGCAGCTTTAATCTCACCTCCTGCACTATAATGTGGGATATTCAACTGCCTATTCAACCTCTCCACTCGGATGTAATAAGTATCAAACCTAAATGTCTCTTAAGCCTGCTCTTCCTGTAGTCTTCCCTGTCTTTACATATGGTAGCTCTAACCTTCAGCCTGCTCAGGTTTAAGCCATTCTTGGCTGGGTGAAGTGGCTCACACCTGTAATCCCAGCACTTGGGGAGGGTTGCTTGAGTCCAGGAATGTGAGACCAGCCTGGGCAACATAGCAAGATCCTATCTCTATAAAAGATAAGAAAAAATTAGCTGGGAGCAGCGCCTGTGGCTCAAAGGAGTAGGGCGCTGACCCCATATGCCGAAGGCGGTGGGTTCAAGCCCAGCCCTGGCCAAAAAACTGCAAAAAAAGAAGAAAGAAAAAATTAGCTGGTATGGTAGTCCCAGCTACTTGGGAGGTTAAGGTTGGGGATCACTTGAGCCCAGGAGTTTCAGGCTACTGAGCTATGACTGGGAGAGAGAGCAAGATCCCACCTTTTAAGAAAAAATAAAATCCTTGACTCCTTTTTTTCATGTCATGTCCTGTCCATCAGCAAATTCCAATGATTGTCTCTAGAATGTATACGGAATCTTTCCCTGTCCCACTAGGTCCACTGCTCCCACCTGGTCTGAGACACAATTGCCTCTAGCTTGGATTAAAGCCAAGTTTTAACGGTGGCCTTTTTTCTCCCTAACCCTTACAAAGCAAGAAAACTGATCCACCTGCTTATCCCTTCTGCACCTGGCAGCCAGTCAGCCATTGCTTGTTAGAGCATGCTCAGAATCTCCCAGTGGCTCCTTGTCATGTGCCAAAGTCCTCAGAATGGCCCAAAAGGCCTCACGAGACCCGGCTGCACTACTCTCTGGCTCCATCTCTTGCCACATGCCCCATCCCCACCCCCACTCAGTCCAGGCTCTCCTTGCTAACCTAGAACATGCTTAGCCTGGGTCTTTGGAGCTCCCTCTGCTGGAATGCTGCCCCTAGCACTGCTGGCTGCCTCCTGGTGCTGTCTGCTCTCTCTACTCTCCACTTAAGCGCCACTTAGCAGGGCCCAGCCCAGACGCTCCTGGGTGACATCATAGCCCCCACCCACCCTTTGACTGGGCACTCCCTGCTCTGGCTTCATTATTCTCCCTAGCCCTTTCCACCATCTGCGAAACTAAAGGTGTATCTGTTCACTGTGAGCCTCCCTTTTATCTTCAGCATCCACGGTAGTGCTCAGCAAACAGACTGCACTTAACAGATAATCAAGGACTGACTGCATGGTCCCATGACTGTGTAGCCTGTTCATATGCACCCCCACAGGGTTGGATGCATTTTGAGTTGTGCAAGACCCCAACCCGCACCCATTAACAGTGGAATTCCAGCCTGGAAGGAAAATCAGACAGGGGTTTCAAGAAAGGACTGGCTTCTCCATCCCCTCAGAGGACACTGGGGGACAGTGACTGGTCTGTCACTGTCAGAGGATGCTCTGGGGAGGGGTAGGGTGACTCCTTTCTTTGGCCTGTCTGAGGGATCACAGGGCCTGGGGGAAGCAGAGAAAACCCCCACAGCAACTAAGTGCCCTTTTCCATTCCTCCCCTTCCAAGCCCCAGAGGCCAGAGTCCACTCCAGCAGGGAGAGGACCCCGGAAGCGTGTCTCACCTGGCATTTTCCGGTGAATCTGCTGGAACATTCTCCGGTACCAATCCCTGGGGCTGTCAACACTCTGGGATCAGAAAGTGCAGTCAGGCCTCCCTGCTCACTCACCTCCCAATGTCAAGCCATGAGAGTTGTTCCTCAGTGAGTCCTTTCTCCAGCCACCCTTGAAGCCCCAGTAGGTGGGCCAGGGAATGTTTCTCTGTGATCTCATTAATGACAGTAACAGATTATATATGAATAAGATATATGGAAAGATCTCCATCAAAGTGTATGCAATGACAGTTCCTAAGTTGTGAAATTTGGGGTGATTTCTTTTTGTTTTTCTACATTTCTAATGTTTCTGCAAAGAATATGTATTTCTATGCATTGAAAAAAACGAAAGTAATAACATCGGGGTGAGATGGTATTTCACATTGCTTGCCTTACCCGAGACTCAAGACAGCCCAGGAAGGCAGGCAGGGCACATTACCAACTCCAGTTTCCAGATGAGGAAACAGCTGGCTCACAACACAAAGGCAGAAGAAGGACAGGGTCCCACCAATCCTGGATTGGCCCCCAGATCCTTCCACACCTGCCATAGTATGAAACCTATCAGTCAAGACTCACTCACTCATTCAGCCAGTCATTCATTCACCAACCTTTTCATAAGGGCTGTGCCAGGCCCCGGGGGACACAAAACTAAAAGGGGGTCCCTGCCAAGATCAGCCCTTACAGTAGTGGCTCTCTACCTTTCAGATCCTGATGGGAATTCTAGATCTGGGCCCCTCAACCACTGTACAACTCAGACACACAGCTTATCTCTAACTTGATATTGCACTCCTGCTCAGAATGGTCTGGGTACAGCCTTTTTTGCCCCACCCACCTTAATTCCCCAAAGTGGAACTCAGTGTAGGCCTCTTGGACCCCATCTGTCTATGGCCCCCAACCCTGAACTCACGGATCGGGGGGCAATTGGCATTCCGCTCTCATCCACAGGCCCGATTCCCTCGTACTTCACCCAGCGCTTGTCCCGACGCTTGCTGTCCCTGGTCCACGTAGCTGAACAGTTCTGGGCAGGCTGGGGGCCAGGGGTCTTTGTGCTTGCAGAAGGCCTGCTCCCAGGGCTTGGCCAGGTCTGGTACCAAGCAGGGTCTGTGGGTTGTGTGCAGCAGAGTGTTAGCCAAAGGCAGGGGTCCCCATCTGTACTTGTTTGTCCCTTAGCTTCTCAGAATATGGATCCCTGTGGATTCAAAAGGTTTCACAACTCTTTGTTTGAAAGGGTGATTCAGACTCCATAAAACTCCCTACCCCTAACAGCACACAAGCCCCTGTCTATTTCTTTTTATTTTGTTTTTTTGAGACAGGGTCTTAATATGTTGCCCTCAATAGAGTGATGTGACATCACAGCTCACAGCAACCCCAAACTCTTGGGCTTAAGCAATTCTCTTGCCTCAGCCTCTCAAGTAGCTGGGACTACAGGTGCCTGCCACAATGCCCAGCTATTTTTTGTTGTTGTTGTTGTTTTTGTTGTTGAAATTGTCTCTTGTTGTTTGGCAGGTTTGGGCTGGTACATGTGTCTGGCACCCTAGCCGCTGAGCTACAGGTACTGAGCCCCTGTCTACTTCTTTTGTTTGTTTGTTTTAGAGACAGAGTCTTACTTTGTTGCCCTCGATAAAGTGCTGTGGCATCACAGCTCACAGAAACCTCTAACGTCTGGGCTCAAGTGATTCTCCTGCCTCTGCCTTCCAAGTAGCTGGGACTACAGGTGCCTGCCACAACACCTGTCTATTTTTTTGTTGCAGTTTGGCGGGGCCAGGTTGGAACCTGCCACGACGGAATGGGACCGGCACCCTACCCACTGAGCCACAGGCGCTGCCCACCCACCCCACCTCACTCCCCGGTCTATTTCTTAAAATGAATTTAAACGGATCTTTTTGGGGAAATTTGTGCCTGCCCCCACCCTGTCCTTTATTTTTCAGGGACTGTTCTAAGAGTTCTCAGGTGAGGGCTAAGAATTTTTTAGCCCTTTCTTGTGATGCTGGGGACATCCCAGCTGCGGTTTGGCTTGAGTTGGGATGGACCTGAACTCAGACCTCAGCCCTGCCACCTACTGGCTGATGATCTTAGGTACATCAATCACTCTCAGCGCCTCAACTTCCACTTCTGTAAAACAAGCCAGGCAAAGATTCAGTGACAGTATGTGCGATTTGACCTTGCACAGTGCCCAACACATGTTCAAGGGGCTGTTGAAGGACAGAAACTCATTCCTCAGATGTGGTTACTGTGTCCTCAACTTCCCCAGAACCTTCAGCCCCTAAGTGGCAGGGTAGCAGCATGAGAACTTCACGGTCAGATGGACAAGGATATGAACTGAAGTTCAGCCTCTGCAGCTGAACATCTCTGAGAGGTCCTCACTGGGAAGATGTCAGTCATCGTCAGACCTTACTTTGCCAGGATACTGAAGGATTAAGGCGTTACTTCTTATAAGCTTTATAGTGCCCGGCACTCCAAGTGTTCAATAAATAATTGTTAAATAAATAAATTCCTTTACACAGTTCCTGCCTCAATAAAGGATGCTACCTTCCTCAGCAGGGCTGACCTTCACTGGGAGTTCCCAGGATCTCTGGACCGGGGCCCAGGCTGATGACCCCTCAGAGCTGCCCTTCCTACCTTCTGCACGCAGCCCTTAGGGCCTCCATGGGGCTGTCTCCACTGCTCTCCAGCCAACACATGCACCCATTCCCTCATCCCTTTCATCCATCCCCGGTTCAAGCAATCCCTGGCCTGTTAGAGGTCCTCTGGCTGCTAGAGGTTTTGTCCCCTGCATACTTCCTTTCCTTGGCACTGGACTGGTGGGAAGGAGAAGGGATGTGTGAACCTTCTCTCTCCCCCAGTGATGTCCCTCCCAGGGTCAGCATGTGGAGGGATCTTAACTGAGCTCAGAGTTCCCTCCAGGGCCTCCTCATGGCCATGAGACCCACAACCCCTCTGCTGCCTCTCCCATTTGCCACAGGGTGGGGCCAGATGGCAGGGCCTAGCGGACTCTGACCTCTACCCCAGAGGAGGCTCCTGAAGCAGGTTTTCCTAAGCAGACTCACCTGGGTGTTGGGAAGCATCTCTCCTCGGTATGTAGTAGCCATTGTACACAGTCCTGGGTGCGGGGTCATGGAACTGGAAATTAAGGGTGTTGGAGCCACCATTCCGGATCACAGGCACCTGCGGGGAGGGCCAGGAGCAGTAGCTCAGGGCCCAGAAAGGCAGGAGGATGGCTACTACCAGGGCATGGCCCACCCTCCATGGTGAGGGCCCCAGGGCCAGCCTGATATTCTTTTTCTTTTTTCTGAGACAGAGTCTCACTATGTTGCCCTCAATAGAGTGCTATGGTGTCACAGCTCACAGCAACCTCCAACTATTGGGCTTAAGCGATTCTCTTGCCTCAGCCTCCCAAGTAGCTGGGACTATAGGTGCCCACCACAACGCCCAGCTATTTTTGTTGTTGTTGTTGCAGTTGTCATTGTTTAGCAGGCCTGGGCTAGGTTCGAACTCACCTGCCTCAGTGTATGTGGCTGGAGCCCTAACCACTGAGATATGGGTGCCAAGCCCAGCCTGACATTCTTTTGGGAAACTATCTAGGCCATCTGGAGCTCTCTTCATGCCCTCCTTCTCCCATCCCTTTAAACTCCTGCACCATCCCCACTAGACCCACAGTGTACCCTCTTCCTTGCTGTCCTCACTCACCCGTGTCCCCCGGGAGGACGACCCTACATGGGCCCGGAAGTGCTCAGGGATGAAATCGTCCAGGCTGAGCCCAGGAGGGAGGCTGCAGGGTGGGCCCTGCATGCTTAGGTCAAGGTCGGAGGGCTCTGGGTATGCCAGCTGCTCCTTTGCGTGTAGTCTGTGGGGAAGGAGGAAAGGAGGGAAAGCCCTGCTGGGTCCGGGCTGCCTGTGGCCTTGGCTGGACCCTGGTGTCAGGGAGGAGGGGCTGGCTGTGGGAGGCGGGTAGGGCCAGCTGAGTGGGAGCTCAAGGTCCCAGGAAACAGGCCACTCTGGGCACCCGCCTGCAGGCTGCCCGTGCTGGCTCCGAGAGGCACAATGGGTTGCTTGTTAGGCCCAGTGCAGGAGCTCCGGGTGGGAATGGGGGAGGGAGAGGCTGGGCGAGGAGGAGGGGAGAGGAGGCTGACAGGAGCCTGCGGGGCTCTCCCTGTGCAGTGCAGTCTGTTGGTGTGCTCCCCCAGAGGGAGGGCACAGGGGAACTGCCACAGTGGGTAGAGGGAGCTTGGGCACATGAGACTTTGTTTCAGTTCCTCTGCCTCCCCCAGGCCCCATGTGAACATCTGCTTGGCCACAGGCACTAGGCGGGGAGAAGAGGCTGTGGCCAGCAGCAAGGCCACCCACCAACACTGCCCCTGGGAAGCAGCCAATGGTGCCCTCTTCCCTAACGGGCCAAGGAGAGCGTGAGGGGCATTTCCAGACACCAGAAACTGCTCCTTCTGGGCTCCCTGTTTAGACTATTGTGCAGACTGAAGACTGGAGGGCTCGGTTGGCTAGGTGGAGAGAGAAACAGGGGGCGAGGGCAAAGTGGGACCTGCTCCTGCCAATGGAGGGCGGTGTGGGGTGCCCTTGGGTGTTCTTCTGCATGCGTGTACATATGCATCCACACCCACATGCACACACACGCTCTCCCCACTTTCCTTGGCACTGCCAGTCTGTCTTCTGAATGGAAGGGCTCCCCTGGTAGCACCCTGACTGACTGGCCAGCAGGTTCTTCTGCGACACTCCAAGGTTAGGTAAGGGGAAGGGAGGTACAGAGGGAAGTCCAGAGAGGGGAGCAAGAGGACATAGAAGAGGTTTGGGGTTCAGTGCGTCCAATAGGGCTTTCTGACTTGGCGCACTGTGGGGCACAGTACATCCCTCTTCACCTTGACTACCTTCTGGGGCTGGATCAATCAGACTTGTATGTGCCTGTGACACCCACAGGGGCTCTCAGGAAGGGCAGCAGGTAGCCAAGAGGTGCTCTGTGTACACGCGCACATGCATGAGTGGTGGAAAATAGATGCAGTGCTGTGAACGTTACTTCTGCAGGGTACCACTGGGGGACCACGTGAGCTGACGGGGTTGTGGCTACAGTGGGGTGTCAGCTGAACAGTAGTGGGGTTGGGCATGGGTAGTCATATGAGCATCACGAGGGTTGTGGGGACCAGAAGGGATGAAGGTACAAGGGGGCTGTGATGACTCCTCCTGTGAACCCAGTTCCTGCTCAGGCCTGGGGGGAGTTTGAGTTAGTGTGACTCCTTCTGACATTTGAGATGCCTGTTGGGGACATGGCATCTCTGTACCCATCCCAGACTGCTGGGGTAGGGATGGAGGTGGAAGGCTGAGGCTGGAGGAGGGGCAGTTCACCAGCTGGATCCAATTTGGGCTATACCAGAGCAAAACATGCAGACACACCCGAGGCCCCACTGCTCCGCCTCCCCTCGTGGGGGAAATTGAGGCAGGACAGAGTGGAAGAGAAGGAAGCCAAGGGCAGGCCAGTTCCTGGCAAGTGACCCCTCCCTGCCCTGCTGACTGCTCGAGGCCAAGCTGCCCACTCAGCATCTGCTGTCCCCACCAGCAGCTGACAAGGGCTTTCCTTCCCCAGCCTTCCCCCTGCTCAGCGAGACCTGCCCTCTTGTAGGAAGGGGAGGGCAGAAGGTTCCCCACCCTCCTCCTCCCACTTGTTTTCAGGGATTGAGCCCCTACCTGCCCTGCCTCAGCTCTGCTAGGTATGAGGCGTCCCCCACCCTCCGCCCCCCGCAGGAAGATCCAGGGAAGGATGTCTGAGTTTTTCTCCCGACCCAGGAAACTTAAGAGGACTTCTCACAGGGAAGACAGAGGCACCCCCGGGGAGTCGGTCCTCAACCAGCAGAGAAGGGGGGGGGGTCTGGATCTTCTGGTGTCCTCTCAGAATTCGGGCAGCTTCCTTCAGGAAGACAGCTGGCTCCAAAGGGGGTTAAAGAGCAAGCAGCCCTGAAGGGGGCGGACTCCTTCCCTGAGCACTGCCCTGACTTGGGGTTTGGCCCCGTGCGCTTTCCCAGGTACTTTCCGGAGACAAAGTCCACGTGGACAAGGACAGAGTTTCTCCAATTTCACCTCTTCTGGATGGAGGGCAAGGGAACTTCCCACCTCTGAGTTTGGGACGAGGACCCCGGGGGAGGGGCTCTGTGCCTTCCCCTGGGATTGGGCGCGGGTCCCTGCCTCCTCCCCGCGCCCCTCCTTCCCAGCACCTACCTTCCCTAATGAGCAGGTGGTAGGGCCCGAGGCCGCCCCGGAGCGCAGGAGCATCCCTAACCCGCTCCTGCGTGGTACTAACGCAGCGGGCCCTCGGGGAGGGAAGACAGGGAGACGCGCGAGCCGTCGCGGCCCTCGTGACCGGGGCAGGACGGGCTGGGTCGGGCTATGCGCCCGAGGAGGAAGAAGGAGCCGAGGAGGCGCGCGGGAGGCAGGACCGTGAGAGTCGCGCCTCGCAGCGGGCGGAGTTTGGGTCTCCGATCCGGACTGTGGGCCGGAGAGGAGGGGCGTTCGAGTGCCCTCCGTCGGGACGTGCGGCCGGGACACTGTGGTCCCCAGCCGAGGAGGCCGGGCCGGCCGGGAGGCGGCGCCGGGAGGAGCCGCCGAGGGTCCCCGGGGAGCCCGCTCGGGTTTCCCAGCTGCCTTCCGCGGCCCCCACCGCAGGGCTGGCGTCGGGGAGGGAGCGGGCGGGTCGACAGGGGCCACTCAGAGTTTCCAGCGACATTTCCAGCGTGTGGGAAGCGCTGCTGCACAGCAGAGCCGGGACAGAGGGCAGGAGTGATTAACGAGCCTGCAGCCAGCACGCGGCCCGCGGCCTCGGAGAGGCGGGAGACGGGCCGGGAAAGTGGATGGGCGGGGACCGAGATAAGGGTGGCCTGGGGCAGAGCGGCCTGGCGGACACAGGGAAGGCCCCGCCACCTCCCCGGCACTTAGGGAGAGTTGCTGCTTGCGTCAGCGCGACCGGGCGCGTGCAAACACACACGCGCACGGGCACACACGTGCAAGGACTGGGAGGAAACTGGCCCAAGGGAGCGCCCCTAAGAGGATGAGGGTGGAGTCCCTTTGGCGGGGAAGGGGTGAGGAGGGTCTTGGTGTTCCCACACCATGTTTGTTTTGATCTTCCTGCTTTCCCGCTGTTCCCGCGCCCCGCCCCTGGCTCCCCATTCACTCTGGTCATCCCTTCTTCCCTTTTCTCCCCAAGCCTTGTAGTGAAGAGCTGGCTGAGGGTGCTTAGGGAACGCTGACAGCGGAGGCAGGCCCTGGAGTACTCCTTGTCCTGGCTTGGTTCTGAGATCCCCAAGCCCTCAAACAGCCAACCAGCAAATAGTCATTGATCGGTATTAGATGTGTGTTGGGAGTGATTGGTTTTAACTTATAACAATGTGACAGCATTTACTGCACACCTGCTGGGTGTCAGATTCAGAGTGTTCTCCAAGCGCACCACTCAGCAGTTGAGAGGAAAGGGAGGGGATGAGAGATGAAGTGAGTTTTCAGTCCCTACCACCCTTAGTGCTATTAGCTTTATCTTTTCCCCAGTTCAAGTCAGAGCTCTCTCCAGCCTGTTAGAGAAGCTGGAGGAGGAGCTGTTCAGAGACAGGCTGGCCGGCTTCCAGGGTGCAGCTGCCCTGTGGGCAGAGGCTGCACTGGCAGCAGCGGGGCCAATCAGTGCACATCAGAGGGAAGCAGGTTCAAGTTTTCCAAAGAAGAATGATAATGATAACAGACGTTCCACGTCTGCCAACTGTGGGGTAACTGTGTAGTTATTGCACTGAGCAGCAAGCTAAGCTAGTCAACACTCAAGTTCCCTTCCAAGATAATCTCTTAAGTTTCTGAGAAAGCTCAGTGTGGGGTAGGGTGGGTGGCCACTGCCCATGGCAGACAGCTGCAGGAGTGGAGCAGCCCTGGGACACTTCTTGAGGGCAGGCAGCAGTGCAGTGCCCCTCCCCTGAAGCTTGAATACTTAGCACCCGTAGGTACCATCCTTTTTCCTCCCCCAGAGATAAAGTATGTGCCCATTTCCCTAGTCACAAGTTTTTCCCACCTGTCAGGGTCCTTGGGACTAAGATGGGCCACATCACTTTCACTGTCTTCCTTGCTCTCCAAAGATGGTGAAGCTGAAGATCTTCCAAATCCAGGAATCCTGGCCATACCCTCTCACCAGCAGCGAGCTTCTCTTACTCTCTAGTGCTCTGACCTGGACTCCAAGATAAATATTTAATGTAGAGGGTGCAGCTGAGTGACAAAGGTCTCAACTTCCTGTTTATCACAAAGGGAGGTGGCAGCCATGGACAAGGAGCTGGGGACTGGCCACCAGTTTCATCTCTATGGGAATAGAGTTCAGGAAACAGCTCTGTAGGAGGCGGCAGAGGACCCAGAGGAGACAAGGCAGTTTTCCTGGCCACTTTGACTTCTGCCTGTCTACTCAGGCCTTGACTTGGCCGGGCTTATCACCTGTCTTAGGTCAGAACCCATTGTGTTCTGCTGTGCCCATCTGGCCTCAGAAGAGAGGATGAGAAGTTGATGGGACCACAGGGGAGAAAACATAAGGAAACATGACCAATTCCTCCCTTTCTGCCCATATTTATGGAGAATTCCTCTTTAAAAAGTAGTTTAAAGAGGAAAAAAGTCATGAGGTTTAAAGATTTGGCCAAGACCCAGGTGTCTGATTTCCCACCTCCTCCCTCCTAGTTTCAGCTCCTGGGCTGCTGGCCTGCCTCTCTAGCTGGCATGGCTTTAGGGAGAGGCTGAGGCGAGGGAAGGTTGTCCCAGATAACATGCCCCGTTGTCAACAACAGAACAGATTCCTTTCAGAATCCCAGGGCACTGTCTCCTCAGCACAACTCTCCTACCTAAAAGGGGCCTCCCTCCCTAGGAGACAGCTGCTTCCCCACCTCTGGCTCTGCCTTTCGTCAGGGCTACCTCTGCCTTCTCAGAGCCACCTGAGCCATAGCAAACAGTTACATAACTGCTCTGTTTTCCCAGCTATCTGAGCCAGGCACCAGCCCGCTGAAGCTGCTACCTTTTGTTCTGTGGACAGCCCCCAGCAGCACCCCTGTCAACAGTGGTCTGCTTACACTCACCGCCCTAGAGGATGATTAGCCAAATGACTGCCAATAAATGTTGCCTCTAATGGGGAGGAAGGAGTAGAATGCAGGTCACCCTGAAAACCAACCTCTGTCACCAAGAGGAAGGATGAGTGGAAGGAGCACTTCAGGAGCTTTTTATTGTAACAGGAAAGACCAGGCAAGCAGGGTCTGAGCAGAGAACTCAGTTTTATTTCTCAAGTGGTAAAAGGAAAGCCAGGGATCCCAGATGATGTAAACCCAGACTCTCATTTCTCCAGGAGTATCTTTCTCTAGTGCAGGGAGTCTGTCATGTGAACAAGTCATACTCTTAGATCTATCCTGAGCAGCCAAGTGGCCCCCCGTGTACCTCAGTTCCCCCATGAGAGATAAAGGGCATGTTCTTTAGGTAGGATTTGAGTAGACTTTTAAAAAATTTTTGCTCTCAGCAGAGTGTTTTCTTCCTCCCAGGGGAACTGAGCAAGCAGACCAGAAGCAAAGAAAGCACTGGCTCTTTCTAGCATCTGGACTTCTCTAGAGGGGAAGACCACAGTGACACAATAGCCAGGAATTGGAACCAAGTCACATCAGACACACCAGCATGAAGCTGGACTATGTTTCATCCCCTGGGCTCCATCCCTTTCTCCTGGGTCCCCTCTTGATTCCAGCTCCTGCTAATGTAGCCGGCCAAGTTCCCTTGTCTGTCTGTGCCAACCACTCATGGGAACAGGAGTGAGGAGGAAAGTGCAAGTGACCCATTTAGGGGCTTCAAAGGCCTTCCTACGCTGACAATGGCTTGACCTGGCCCATCTGGAAGCCAAGATTTCTAGTATAGTCACCTAAATGCAAGTTATCTCTGAGTGAAAAAAATACCCAGTACAGGTCAAGTATGGTCAATGATGGGGCCTCGCAGCCAGGCCGGGTACACAGAACCCCATGGGAATAGAGAATGAGGCTTTCAGGCCTGCCTTACACAAATCTTTTCATAGCACACACATGATGTAACTGGCTTCTATTCTGGGTTCTCAGAGCCAATCACATCCAAATCCTGAAGGCTGCGGGTGAACTCAGCCTTTTGCTCAATTTATCCAGCCTGTCCTCAAGGAAGGCTTCACACTGACATCACATCAATGACTGTTCTCTCTCTTCCTCTTTTTATGGATGAGCAAACAAGCACAACACATAGATGGGGTGTCTTTGAGAAGAACTAAGCTGGATGAACCTTTTTTAGTTCTCAGGAAAGATGAAAAGATCTAGTGGCTGTCAGCTCTTTAGAAAGTAGATTTCATAAGAGAAGGGTAAGTTAAGTGATGACCTCAGCAGGGAAAACCAAGCCAAATCCACTTGCCCACAAAGAAGGGCACAGAACCAGGAGCTGGAGAATTAGGTCTGCATTAGCCTTCTTTCCCAGCTCAGGTAAACTGAGATAAGTAAGATAAGAGCACTGATTTTTTGGCCTGGTAGATACCATGAGGTAGTGCTCTGGCCTCCAAACAAAGAATTACCTTGTCTTCCCACCTCTGTGAATTCTATTAATATGATGAACCTTATTAACGGCATCAACATTAAAAAGATTAGTTAATTTACAATCAAATTGTTAATCCACTGTATCAAAGGTAAACAATTTTCTTTTTAAAGCCTAAAAATGATTTTTAAAAAGAGGCAAGACCATGCAATCATGTAGCAGGCACAAAGTGGGGACTAGACCTAGATGTAGTGAGAGGGTAATATGAATTTGTAGTTGAGTCCCTAATTCCAGGCTTTTTTTTTTTTGAGACAGAGTCTCACTATGTCACCCTCGGTAGAGTGCTGTGGCGTCACAGCTCACAGCAACCTCAAACTCTTGAGCTTAAGTGATTCTCTTGCATCAGCCTCCCAAGTAGCTGGAACTACAGGTACCCGCCATAACACCAGCTATTTTTTTGTTGTTGCAGTTGTCATTGTTGTTTAGCTGGCCTGGGCTGGGTTCAAACCCATGAGCCTCGTGTATGTGGCCTGTGCTATAACCACTGTGCTATGGGCGCCAATTTCCAGGCTTTGAAAAAGCTTTTCAAAACTATAAATAAGGGCAAATATTACTTCACTTTATTAAAAGTTTAGCTAAGGTATAGTGACATTGCTAAGTAAAGATGCCATCAGGATAATAAAGAACCCAAATGCATATTCAGCTCATTTGAAATTAGAAACCTAGGCTTGTTTTCTGGCCTGTAAACCTCACTGTGGCTTTTTAACATGGCTGTCTTTAATGCCAAAATCGCTGACTTAGGCCTGGGAGCCCTGGATTTAGCCTTTCTACCTCTATTGCTATAACCTGTACAACTCCCTTACTGACAAAATTTCCTCTTCAGGGCCCCAACACTTTTCCTACCCAAACCTCTCACTTGCCTAGAGGGGCCTATTTTTCCTTGTGAATTGACAGCACCTCATAATATTTCTACTTTTCAGAAGAATGCAAAGGCTGGCCTGGTGC